AAAAAATGTTAATAAAAATATTGTTAAAAAAAATAACTTATTCAGAATTTTAATTGAAATCTTTTAAAATTCAATTTTTCTGAGACTTCAATTTGAAAATTTTAAAATTCAATCTATAATAATATTAGTAATATTAATCTAACATTCTGAAATATAAAAAAAATTTTTGCTTATGAATAATTGTAAAAAAAACTAATTGATATTAATGAAAATGCGTTTTTTTAACATTTATTTTCTAAGAAAGGAAGTTTTATTTATTTTATTTACCTTATTTATTATTAATTTTATAAATCTCGTATCACTTTTGTTCTAATTAGTTCAAATTTTTAATAATTCTTATTTGTTTTGTTATAATATTATTGCAAGAAAATTTTAAATTGATTTATTTTTGACTATTTTATAGGATGTGAAATTGTTTTTTTTATTAACTAATAAAAATTTTAATCATTAATCTTCGCTAGAAGCTTGAATGCATTGGAATATGACTTTTTTTAAAATTCAGTTATTAATCAAGTATTAAATTAAAATACTTTGAGAATTCAATTTGTTAAAAAAAATTTTCTAATGAATTCTTTAAGAAGTTTAATTACACATTTTCAGTCGAAGTTCACTATGTTTCGATTAACTCCGTATTCTTTATTTATTTACATAATGTGTTTGAATTGGTGACTGATAATTTTCTTTTACTATTAAATTAATTATTTTAACTAATTTAAATTTAGAGAACAGAATAAAACATCTATAAGAATTGAAATAAAGAGTGAATTTTGATATCAATTTAAGATAATAAAATCTTTAATTTTGGTATAAAATTTCCCGGTTTGACATAAAACTCCCGGCTAATTCCCGGTTTCTCCGGGAATTCCTGTCAGAACCAATTGGGATATAGAATAAGAGAATATAAACTTACCCTCTTTCTGATTAACGCTGCAGGAAGGCATTTTTCGCCTCAAAATATCGTCTTATTTTGGCTGAATAGGATGCTATGTTGCGCTGGGCATTATTCTCAAATAATTTTGTCAGCAAATAACCCCTCATGATGACAAACCTGTCACCTGGAATCAACCCGCATATCTCCCTGCCTCGCCTCACTATATCTATGGCACTATCAACTTCGGACCCATAATGAGAGTGAGAAGAAGAATCATCTTCTCCATCATTATACTCGAGAACGGTTTCACAGCTAACAGAGGACATTTTTTTTTAAAAAGGGGCACTAGTAGTCACAATTGGTTAAGGACGAAGTATTACTCTCTCTGACCGCACTCTAATCGAAGGAAAGGCCGTAAGAAAACTGAACCACTGGAGTGAGGTACTGGACCGCTACGCTTGACATTGACATTACGTCACTAAATTGACGGTTCCCAGTTGCGTTTGTACTACTTAGGAGATGTGCGGGCGCAACGTTAAAATACAAGAGTCTAATTAAATTAAGCACCACTGAGACGGTTCGAAGAATGTACCATGTTGCGATCAAAATGTCACGTATTTCGGAAGGGTAGTTTCAGTAGTAAGATGGAAACTAGATTTTGGCTCACATTTCAGTGCAATTACTGAAAGCCATTTTTGCGCTCTTTAAAATTTTGTGTAATAGTAGAAAATTAAGAACACAAAAATTATTGTATTAGTTATTCGAGAAATTTTCTAGAAAATATTTCTTTGAAAATTTCCCAAATTTTCAAAAAAAACGACAAAAACAAAAAAAAACAAAAAATAATAATAATAATAAAACAAATAAAGCATGCTATTTGTAAAACAGTTTTCAAAGTATATGCTTTCTGCCTTGCAATTGAAATTAGACTTAAAAGCTGTTTTCTGTTTTGTATTTAAATTTTTACAAAACCATTTAGTATTTAGTAAATAATCGGGTTTGATACCCAATATATTATTGCTGTATCCTAATCTTAATCGGAATTTTAATTAATAATTGACAATAATGATAACCATTTAAGAAAGAAAAAATAAGGCTATTACTGACGCCACTACTATTTTTACCCATAATATATTCAACATAAAATTGTATAATTGTTTTCGAAATATTGAAGAAATTTTGTTAATACATCGTCCTAGTATGTGCATTTCTAAGTTCAAGGCATCAGGGTTTTCGGGGACGAAAACTGGAATTTTCACGGTGGATTGTTAGAATACTAGTCTTTTAGAAAGTAAGTTATTTGACAACCATGTAGAATAAATTTAATTTCAAATCAACCCAAGCATATAAAAGCATCGCAACGCAGCGACGCTATGCTTGAGGATATTTGACACCCTGATAACGTCAAATATCTTACCGAGAGAATGCCTTTAACTAAGAAATGCTTATAAAAATAGTTAGAAGGACAAAAGAAATTATTATTTCTTTTCTCCTTCTACTAAATAATAAATATAATAAATAGTTATTAATAATTGTACCGGCGCAGTCAATGCTGCCTACATCGAACCTTGCGGCAATATTGAGCGGTAAATAATAAATATAAAATTTGTATACAAATTTCAATTCTGTAAAACATAAAGGAGGCGCAATGTTGCAGCCAAAGTACGTATATAAATCTGGATAATTAAATTTAAAATTTTATGCTAACAACCGAAAGTGTGAAGCGTAATTCTAAAATATTAAAACATCAACTAAAAATTGCATTGAGAGATTGTATGTGTGTGTAGAGGGACGACGACAACACACACAATAAAGCAACGCGCATGTGTCTGTGCGTCCGGAGGTTGTAAGCACCAACACAAGCAACGACTCCCCCGGCTACAGTACTAATACCGTCACAGCTTCCATGCTACGGGCACCAACATAAGCGCGCTATGCTTGCCTTCAATCGCTACCTTGTTGTGCGTAGAACTTTCCTCTCCCCTCAGGGCCCATAAGCTGTAGACTACAGCTTCAAAACAAACGCACGTGCGTTACAGCTGACGCAAACTACAAGGCTTGTATGCCTTATGACACTTGAATTTATGAATCAAGTCGGATGCACATACAAACAATTATTATTAACAATAGTTAAACATTTTGTTGTAAACATTGTTGTTACAACAAAATGCCGGAGGACATTAGGTTGTATGTATATGTATATATATACATTACTCAATATGTAAAATGCATATACAAGCAACCTTTAAAAAGTAGGAACAATATAATTACAATAAATAAATTATATACATTATTATAACTAAGATAAATAATAATTTTATTAATTAAACAATATAATTATTATTTAAATTCTAAGTTATTTCAAATAATATCTCAAAAAGTATCATGTTAACAGACTGCTTCCGTTCTAACGGACCTACCGTGAGATCCAAAACGTCAGCAAAAATGCATAGACTAATGGGCCCATGACTTACTCCTACTCTTTACTCCTACTCCTAAAATCTTTCGCCGCTTTGCACCAAAGGTAAGGGTTGGAGGCTTGTCGCAAAATTTCAATCATCGCAGTACGAATTCTCGCTTCTTCTCGAAGACACCTCTCCTGGGTCTAACCTAGCAAGTGTTTTGGGACAGAGAAATTTCGCGACAAAAAAGCCCGTTCGCGACCCGTAACCCAATTTGCATGAATTAGGGCAGACGTTAAAATTTTCAAATTCTCTGAGCCGGTGGAGTCCAGTGCGGGCTGATTTTGGAGAGATTTTGGAATTATTAATATAATTAATAATTCTAGAATCTTGTTATTTATAACCGACCGGTTGCATAGATATTGCCCGCGTCCGTCTCAAATATCGGTGGCCCACGAGCGCGATCAAAACCAATTATCGAATTATCGGTTGCATAGATATTGCCCGGACTAATTCGTTAAAAGGTAGATCCGCAGTGAGTTTTACACAGTTGTGTGAGACGGCCGGTTGCATAGATATTGCCCGCGTCCACTCACCACAAGTGCAATCTCGCAAACAAAAGAAAATTGCGCGAATCTTACGTCGCGATTTTCCGTGAAAACAAGAACAAAAGAATTTTCGCCCGACGGATGCTTTGTGATTCGAAAGAGGAATAGCTCCGCCGGTAGTTTGTAAGTAAATAAGTATCGTTTTAATCACATATTCTAACACACATACACTTTCTATTTGTAACACACTATAATCATTCTGTATTCAAAAGGTATTTTGCTATTTAAAAATAAATCATGTATTCATAAAGTCAATTTCTTTACTTACCTAACTAAACCTAAAATTCAAAATCATTTCAAAAATAGTGCATTTAACGAATCAGAAGGTAACTTTTAAAAGTAGGATAACGTCCCCACAAAATTAAACAGAATAATCAAACATTCTGGCAGCTTGGTGCCTCCCCAAATCGAGATAAAGGGCCATCTTAAAAGCCTAATTTATAAATTTATTTCTGGTTTGTAACAATAAATGAAAGTAAAACTTAATTGTACAAATAACAATAAATCAAGATAATCGATATTACATCAAAGAAAAATATATAATAATAATATAATCAATAAATAATATAATTTAAAAATTTGTTAAATATAAAAGACATGATAATAAAACTAACTATCTAAGCTCGGGTGGATGGCTAGATTGTATTATTTCTAGAATCATTAATTAAATAATAAGTATAATAATAATTTAAATACATAAATATATATTTAGCAATATAATTGAATATAAATTAAGTGATATATAAAACAAAAATTGATATTAAGAGTAATTAATAGATAAATGTAAATAAAATTTATTCAAGTAAAATAAATAAATAAATAATGATTAATATTACGGTTATAAATAATATTTAGTATTTAGTAAATATAATATTAAAAAAAGAAAAAAAATACCTACATATATATATTGTTTGTCAAATAAGTGTTTCTTGATCTTGTATTTTTTTATGTTTTAGAACATAATTAACAAAACTGACCATTATGTTACATTTCAAGGATTTTATTTTTCTTTTTAAAAAAAAAGTCAAGCATATATTATCGATTTTTTTTATACTAAAATTATAAACAATATACCAAATATAATCAATTATAATTCTAATATTCCTAAGTAATTATTTTTTTATATATAAATCAATAAGTAAATAAAATTTAATTGTATGAACAATAGATAAAGAAAGATAGCGGTCCTTAGCATTTGAACCAGTAGGGCTGCAGGTCGATTTTCCATCGCTAAAAAAAATATATATGTATTTTTGCAAGAGTAAATAAAGTGTAATTCAATCACATAGGAAAATTGCCTTAAAGGTTAAGAATATCCCACTTACTAAACTCCATTCTCGCTGGGCATCCCCCAGAACTCCCCATTCCCCGGGCCTGTAGAGTTGACGATAAAGCAGGTTCAGGACGCCCCAAACAGCCCTAAATCCCATTCTTGGAGGAACCAAGGGCAAGTCTTTAAATTCCCTGTAAAGAAAAAAAGAAAACTCAATTTTACGTTTCGACAGCCCTGCTGTCTTTTGATTATAAATTATAATTTATTAATTAATAAGGTGATATTTAGGAACATTGCAACAATGTTGCGAAGCCATATGAGCAACAGACAACATTGTTGCAACGCGATAAATTAGGGAATATTGCAATTATTGTATTGCGAATGCATGTTATGACGTTAATTCTAATTTAATAAAGAAATATTTTCAAAGAATTTTCTGTAACATCAAGAAAATTGGCACCTTTTGTATTAAATTTAACTCGGTGGAATTTTTTTATATTATTTAAAAATTCGCCATCAGGCGCCAATTAATTTTTAGATTAATTAATAAACTCTGGACACAATTAACAAACAACGATACTCAAACGGCTAGCAAAACCTCAGAGACACTCTTACTCTCATGAGGGAATTCTGTCCGAGAAAATGACGACAGAAACGCCAACGTTGGGACACGACTGGACCGAGACTGGTACAATACTGGTAGGACTTACCCACGGTGATGTGTAGTCGACACCCGGTTGAACCTCGACTCCTGGCGACGTTCTAGGATGCTGTATTGGTAGGTCTCTCCAAAAAAAGGAACACCAACAAATTTCACTTCACAAGAAAAATAGTCTCTTTATTTTTATATTTATGCTTATTATACTAAACTTCTCACACAGTTAATACTTCGCTCTAAATTTATAAACTATATAAAGTACTCTCAACCACTTTCCGTAACGACACTCTCACTTTAAACAAAAATTTAATATACTCGTGTATTTTCTCTACCACGAGGCGCGACTAAAATGGTTCAGCACGTGCTAACTTAATTATGGTGGCAAAAGTATTGGCAAGACGCCGACGCTTTCTTTCACCTGTTGACTCGTCTTCTTCCTATCTCCGTTTCTCTCTTTCAGCTTCTCCTGGCACTACTCCTCTCTCTCTCACCTACTCGCTGGTCCTGACCTCACATACTCGAACTAACTTGCCAAGCGACACACTTTCTTTTCTACTTGTGGGTCACTTGGCAGTTCGGCACCTACATTACCGCGGTCCACACTCAACACCGGTCAGGGGGGAGAATTATTCAGAGATGGCGTGACGATTCACTCCGTCACAATGTATACTTGGACGGCTACGGAAACACATACTAGCCCACGGCTACAGTCACCAACATATGCGTGTCGCATTATAGCCTCTACTCGTTGCTTGATCCTCCCGAGAACCTTCCCCTTTCCCCGCGGGTCCATAAGCTGCGAATCACAGCATCACAACAATCGCACGTGCGTTTCACAGCTGACTCAATGACATAAGATGCTTAGTGCACCTTGCTTTCAGTATATGTACATTGCAAGGCTAAAGGAATAATTATTTATTATACATTTTATATTTATATTATTTTATATTTCAGACCATTTCCGTTCTCACAAAACTATCGTGAGAATCCAAATTGTCAGCAAAACGCAACATCCAATGGACATTTCAATTAACGCAGTACAACTTCTTCTTTCTATCGAGCAACACCTCTCTTGGCTCTGGCCTGGTAAGTGTTGCAAAAACCAAGAACGCCGCGACTTAGCCCGTCTGCGATTCGTCCCCCGCGTAAAACTTCCTAGTATAACGCGAAAGGGAGACGAAAAATTAAAGTAAACCATCTAACCGACGGAGTCCTGTGTGGATTGTGTTTGGAAAGTCGGATTAATTAGATCAAGTTAATCAAATTTGCTTCCTAAACCGGCCAGTCCGTGTGTGTAACACCTGCGCCGTCCAAGTACAACGGCCGAACAAACATTCATTCGAATCAATTTAACCTAAAATTCATTTTGTTCTGTAAAAGCTACGAGTAAATAAATTGGATAAAAAAAGGATTCGAATAACTAAGTATTGGTTGTGTGTGACAACGTGAATTATTTCTGCCCGACGGTAACCGGATTGTAAACCTACGTCCGTCGGTAGTCGTAAGTAAGAAATTGTATCGTTCTAATTATCTACTTTCTAAATCAGCAAGAAAAATAAATTCTTCTTAATTAAATGCTTTCTTTATCTATTACTTGCTTTGCCTTCACACCCTTAAATACCAAATAGTTAACGCAATAACGAAGTAGAGCATAAGCGAACGAGCCTACAAAATAAACAAGATAGGTTTCTATCTTGGCAGCTTGGAGCCTCCCCGAACCCGAAATTTCAGAACCAACTCAAAGGCTAAACAAATAAGATTTCCGGTTTGTAACATAATAATTGATTTATGTAGATTCATACCGAGACATTATAAGTACTCCTACAGGGTTGCCTAAAAAATACAATTTTATTTTTTCCTGACTTCAAAACAAAATTTCGATTTTTCTCTAATCTGAATAAAAAAATTCAAAAACAGTTCAATTGAAATTTTTGCAAAATTTAAAATACAATTATTTGAAACTCAAATATTTTTTTAAATAAATATTTAATTAGTATTACTTTTCTCACAGCCTTTGAAATTTCAGTTTGAAACCTCCCTAATTTAAATAATCTCTGGAAATTTCATCTGTATTTAACTGAAATTATTTTTAAAGTTAATTAAAATTAATAATTTTAACAAAATTATTATAAAATTTAATAAATGAAAACAAAATTGATTATGTACCTACTAATTGAAAAGTAGAGTTTTTGTAGTGTTTCTAGAAATTTGATATTTATAGAGTACTTTTCATAACAAATCTTGACATTTCCCGAACCAATTTCATTTTCCCTAACTTGTTTTTGAATCCTTTGCTTTTCTGACTTGTGGCAATCCTGTTCTACTCTAACTGATCCCAATATTTTATATTATTTATAAAGTGAAATAAAAAAAATAATTAAACTACCTATACCTTTCAGGCCAGACTAGATGAAAGTACACTTTAATCAGAGACAAAATTTGCCTTTATTGCAATGTGAGGTAACTTTTATAAATTATGTTCATTATTTGTTTTTTGAGGTTAAGGCCAAAGAATCCAAATTTTCCATTAAAAAATTTTGAAGACAATTTTTAGTTAGTCAACATATTTATTATTACTATAATTGTCACGACGTTTCGATTGTAGCCACCATCCTTTTCAAGAAAAAACATTTTAAAAAAATTACATTTAATTATAAAAATTATAAGTTATTAATCACAAAAATTATAAATTACAATAATTTAAAGAAATCTTCTTTCTATAACAAAAACGTGAGAATACATACGTGGTAAAGCATGTTTAATTTGTTTTAGGAGTTGAGAAACAACTCCTCATCACCACTACTACATATTTAAATAAATAAATCAATCAACAAGAGCAGAAAATGACACAAGCAATACAGCCCTATCTTTACATGCAAAGGACTTAAAACACAATTTTGATTTTAACAAAGTTAAAATTTTAGAAACGAAACAAAACACCTAAATACCAAGTTCTGTAAAGATTCAAGAAATTTTTATAAATCCGACCGCCATATTAGATTCCTCATTCATATTTCAAAAATCTGACTTTAAATTCGTAATCAGTGACCCCAAAAACCCCTCGATACCAAGTTTCCTAAAAATTCAAGAATTTTTTTAAAATCCGACCGACATATTTGATCCGCCATTTTGTATTTTGATAATCTGCCTCTAAGTTCGTAATCAGCAACCCTAATAAAGCTTGTATACCAAGATTGTGGTAAATCCGACAATATTTATAGAATTTCATCTGTCACGTAAAATCTAATATGTATTTTAAGGTTAGGAAAAATCCTGACGTGATGGAGCAAAACGGACTTCAGATTCGTTTTCAGCGACCCCAAAAACATATAATACACCAGATTTGATCGAAGGAACCTTTCAACGAATTTTTTTGTGGTCCTGTGTATTCTATTAATTTAACGGACCTCTTGTGGTTATCCTGTGGATATTCTGTAGATTTCACATTATTATTTTAATATTTAACTTAAAAGTTGACTACAGATAATTTAAAATCAATCACAATTTATGTTTGATTTCAATATATAATCTCTTAAACTGAACCAGAAAATGTGTTTGAATGAAACTTAAATATGTTTGACTGTATAGCAAAGATAATTTAAGTTTGATTTAAACAAAATTTGTTTGAATCAAATAATTATTTTTCTCAGTGTAAAGATATCTTAGAGATATCTTGTGACATCCAGGGGTCATCTAATAGACATCTCTATTTCTCCTCTATAGGATATTGTGATAATTTCTTTCAAACATCCACAGGTATCCTATGGATATCCCACATATGATATCCCAAGATATCCAATGCTATGAGGGAAGAAATATAAATATTAAATACATATTTACTTGATAATAAAAAACGAGAAACTTACTAGCAGCCTTATACTTTTTGTTTGTGTCGTGAAAGGATAAATCGTCGGCTGCTATTTGCTTTCGCTTATGATTCTTATTATCAATAGTAGTAGCTGATCCAGATGCTCCTACTGATGCATTAATGTGTTCATTTGTGTCTAAGAAAAAAAATTCATAATATTTCTTATTATTTAGGTACATTAGTAAAAAACTTAAATACTACTGATGCATTAATGTGTGCATTTGTGTCTAAGAAAAAAAATTCATAATATTTCTTATTATTTAGGTAAATTAGTAAAAAATTTAAATTATTTGTGACAAAAATGCATACACTAGGACTTATTAATGTGATCCACAATTAATTCTGGCACATGAAACAAATCGTCAATATCATCATGATTTGGTTTATCGTTTGTTGCATGGATTGTATTCTCCATGAGCACTTCTTCTGAGTGATTCTTGCATACAAATTCCTTTTTGTCTAAATTATTGAGCTCCTTTAGAGCTTCTTTATAAGTTTCTGAAAACAAGACATAAATTATAATCATAACATTTTAAAAATGTAGTTGTTATTATTATTATTACTATTGAATAAGTATTGAATCAGTTAATAAAATTTAAATCATTAATAAAATACTTAATAATAATTTTAATTTAAGAAAAATTTTTAAATCTTAATTATTTATAGGCACGCAGAGTTTGGCTAAATAAAAGCTATTTGAGATAAGAATTCATCGTTAAAAAAATCTTAATAAAAATTCAGATGAATTAACATGTAAGTAAAAATGCAGCTGAAATAAATATATTTTAATAAAATTTGAATTTGATTTAAGAAAGGACCCTATTAAAAACACTGCTTGATTGGAAGATATAAATCTTGCGATAAAAATCGAGGACGAAATGGTTTGAAACAAAATTATTATAGACTTGGCAACAAAACATACATATAAGGAAAAGAACCTTTTCCTTTAAGATATATTTTAGGCGTACAAGCATTTTTGTTTAGAAATTTGAACCGGCGTGAGTCACGTAGTGAGCGAACCGATGCAATATATTATGATAGGATCACTATATAAGCATAATAGAAGATAAATGAAAAAATTATATTCTTAAATTCAATTTCTCTTAAAATAAAGGTTCTTACTTTAAGTTAATTTAAAATTGAATTATTATTAAATTAAATATAACATTACATTCAATTTACTTCACTTTAAATCAATTCAATTAAAAGGCATTTATAAAATGTTTTGGCCTATTTCAGTAAAAAGACAAGTAGTTTTTATATTAATTTGTTAAGTTTCAT